AAATCCTCATAACGTTGATACCATGTGTCAAAAGTGACATTAGCCTCTGGGTCATAATTGAACTGTGAAATACTGTTCACAATTCCATCGACAGATGCTAGCATGGTATGATTGGGATTGCTTGAAGGTGAAGCTGGACCAGTCTGTTGGTTGACGAACATTTCCATTAATTTCATTTGTCGTTCAAGCAATAATTCCAATTTAGAAGGATCCATAGTAAATTGTTATGTTGCTGCTGCTGAGTGGTTAATGGTAGTTTTCCCCGTCGCCAAATTGTTATGTACTCGTCGCTAAATTATTGATTATGGACTGGTCGAGAAACTAATAGTCCTGACGCAAGAAGGCGGAAATCAGAAGAACACTAGGTTTGCGATGATACTTCTATTGTCCGAACACAAGGAGACGAAAATAAATGGTCTCACACCAAAGTGGTAAGTAAGTAAAGTAGTTCACACAAATTGTGTATGCGAAATATATATGAATGTTCCAGACAAAGCGTGTGAACAAATCATCAGACAGTCTTAACATGAATGGCTAATTATAATGAAGTATCGATCCATATATACATAGCGAAATATAACAGACATGTCAACGACCACACATATAACATGGATATCTGTCACCGAGCAACGGACTGTCAACAAACACTCATATTATATATAATATAATATAAGGGGAATACACATTGTTAAAGGAGACAAGTTCATACAAGTGAAATGGTCACAGACTAAGCGAGCAAAACAGAACGAGAGACCAACATACACACACACACATAAATATATATGTGGATACATATCAGATTTTGATTTCAGATTTGATTTGAGCATTAATCTTTCTAAGTCGAAACTTATCTTTGAGTTTATATACTATTTTTTTATCACCTGCGATGTTGTTTGAGATGAGGAGACGAGAAGTGGTCGAGGCGTTTGAATAGCATTTGTTTCGGACAGCATATATCAAGGCAGAACTTAAGATAATCCGTTATATCGGCGATTGTGTCTTCTAGCGTACTTTCGTAGGATAAATCCCAGTTAGTATTTTTTAACATGTGCATGGGATTGAGTAAGTTGTCAGATATGTAGCATCTTTGTTGTGCTTTCAGAGACTGGTGTGAGAAGACTTTAATATGTGTTTTGCTGTATGTTTTCGGTAAAACACGAACAATACAGTGATCAGAGTTAAGTATCGGTGCACGTCTACGTGTTTTATATACTCTTTCGTCATTAGTAAAAACTAAATCGAGTGTTTTGTCAAGGCGAGTAGGAAATTTGACTATGTTTGTGTGACCAAGAGCTTCAAGAAATGGGAAATCTGAGGAGTTGAAGTCCTCAGTAATAACAGATAGAGAGTTATCGAAGTTGGCAGCAGCAAACATGGTGAATTGACCAGCAAAATTAGACGGACCATGTGGTGAGCAACTAGGAGAAATGTACATGTTTGTAACAAAGAACAAACATTATTTGAAACAGACCATTTGAAGTGAATAAAAGTTGCAACTCCACCACCATTTTTCTTATTACAACATTGACGGTCTTGTCGAAATAAAATAAAGTCCTTTAGTGAGATAAGATTGTCATCATACAGTTCATGCAACCACGTTTCTTGCAATGTGATTATGGCAGTATTATGATAAGTGTCAGTGGACATCAGAGATTGCGGGTACATTATCTTGTTTGGGGGAGAGCGGCAGTCTGTGTTCATTATGACAGGGACCGTAGTTAAGTGTATTGGTATACGTTTGAGAGCTCTCTGCCAACCACTACGATGCTTCCTCCTTGATTTCACTTTGTCATGTATCTATTTAACCAATTTATATGTTATTATTTTTATCCTTTGTGTGACAAGACCTATGTGATTCACGATTGCACCATAGTTGGTCGCTTATTTCGCAACTGCCTCTTCTGAGGTCAAGTTGCATCTCATATGGACGGTGACGATATAACTTTTGAAAGATAGGCGAGCATACATAATAGCATTTTACATCTGTCATGGAGAATTCTTCAGCTGAGGCAGCCTTATTTAACGAGAGCTTCGGTGCTATACAAGAATGCTTCATGTCTCACATGGTGTTTGCTGGTGATCTGAAAAATATTCACAGACCAGTTAACCACCCTTCTTTGGATCGTAGTAACTATGGGTAGTATGGTTTTACCTCAGCGCTTGTAGTTTGCTCTGGTTTTATATCCCTGTCAGTCCCAATATTTACTTTTCAAACATAATTGCTCCCATGGTGTGAAGCCTCCATGAAAAAAACATGACTCGAACCAAATCCACTTCACTTTCGAAAAATTACTGGAAGGTTAATCCACTCGGACTGCATATAGGTAGTTTTATGATGACTAAACCGTGCCTGCAAAATTGGTGTGTATACTGAGACAGAAATATACATTTTTATTCACATTATGCCATACTATTGTATTAAGGAAGTATAGTCTTGGGAGGTCGTAGAATAGGTCTACGAAATTCCAAAGGACTGTGATGACTCTACAGACCTCAGTTCGACTTAGTAGTCTCCGGCTTTTAGACAGGGTTGGTGACTAAGAGAAGTGGGTCATTAGTTGACTGACCGGTTAATACTGATGCCTATTTGGATCATGAGTGGAAGAGACATTTGCGGATATACTTAAAATGGTTACACTTAAATGCATTCCTTAGAGGACACAGTGGTCTAAAGAGTCGTACTCACTTGGCAAATACACAAGCTAAAACGCCCATGCTTCGTAGGAAGTTGTGCGATCCCGTCATCTTTACTAGGTTTTGACAGTTTAGGTGTGAAATCAGAGGTCATTTGAAGACTGTTACTTTACAAAAGGTTGAAGGACTTGAAATACTGCTAGTTGTAGATTCACTGTACCATTTGGAAGACTTCCTAAATTTTAACGGAAAGCCTTGGAAAGCAAATAACTGGGTAGGATCAGAGTGGTTTATGACTTGCTAATTATAGACAAGATCTAGTCTAGAGAGTGAATAAAGAAAAGAATCGTCACACATGACCGAGGAAATCATCTTCGAACCACCTCCAAATCCCAAACCTGGTAGGGTTGCAAGTTCAGAAGATCTCCTAATGTTGACAGTATTCCCCCAAACCCAAAATGGGTTGCTGGTCTTGTCTCGTCTGTCACTGGGCCAGTACAACTATTGTTATTGCATTATCAGTGGTAAATATCTGTGGGGCTTTTAGCATACCGAAGGCAACAGGACTTAGTTGACGAACATCATGGTATCAGTGATGTTCATTCTCGTTTGACCTACCCTTCGTCTGATGACCGGAAGTAGCACTATTAAAGGTTGGGCTAGTATTTCTGTGAGTGTTTTACTCTTTGCATTTCTCAAATCCTTTGAGAAATTTTCATATGGAGGCATAGGTTGACGGTATAGACGTTCGCGAACTGTACGTAGTATATTAACGCAAGATTTTATACCAACAACTTCTACCTTATTTGTTTCTTGTGTACCCAAGCGAAACACCACAGCTGATTGTCCAAATTACGAGATATGTTTCGCGACCAAAACGAGCCGTCAGACGAACGCTTAGCTGGTTAGTGATCGTGCACGCACGTGACACGACGGAGTACCAAATGGCGGGGCTGCTTGACCGAAAGTTTTCAGCTAATCAAGTCGACTTAAACTCTAAGGGTCAGCATCTAATGTTCACTGATGATTCTTATGGTCACCATGTAATTCTTCTCTTAGACATAATCTATTCGCATGGTCAATAATTTTAGGGAATTATTTACGGCTACAGAGGCTTCTGGTATAGTTAAGGGGTTTCGTGGTAGATAACGTAGTAAGATATTGGATCAAGTGCTTTTTGGTGAACTGAAGTTGATATAGATTTTTTCGGATTTCGGTGAGGCGTGATCGACTTCAAATTACAGTTCCAAGTCACCATAAATTTAGTAGCTATAGGTGACAACTAAGCTATCAGTCCTGATGCTTAACGATACTTTGGGAGAAGATCCATAGAAAATGGGTACACGTTTGGATATTGTTCATTACAGTCTTCATTCTCTTTACTTTATCATCCCATATACTGATTTAGGTAGGGTTTTTGAGTAATAGGTATTTAAGGAAACAATGCAGTAGAGGCTTTCGGAAATCTCAATGGATATGCTTTAGGCTTTCACATGTGCTAATTTCAAATTGTTTCGGGTAGTATAGTAGGCCTCAGTTCGAATATGTCAACTAAACGAATAGCGTGAGGCAGATATTTTAAAAGTTGTTCAAAGAGTTGGAATCAGAATGACTGCCCTACCATTAAATTTATGATTGTGACATAGGTTGGATATTTATGATTTCTTGACACTGTGATGTTAGAAATTTGAGGTAATATTGTTCATTCCGTTTGCAGTAATTTTAGTGCCATCTTATTTCGCTTGGAAAGATTTCACATTTTCAGATTCCAGATTCCGATTTATTGGTTGAGGATAGAAGGCTTGCAGCCTATGTTAATCCTTTTCTAGTAGATTCCTGTGGTTGTTTAGACCCTTCTTGAACGAATCAGTTGAGGTTGCAGGCACCACTTCTTCTGGGAGTCGGTTCCAAGAGTTTATGACTCGATGTGAGAACCAGTACTCAACAGTAATATGATTTCTTCTTGGCTTTTGAACTTTCCTGCTATGTCCTCTAAGGTGTTCCGACCTGATGGGAAGGAAAAGAGAGAATAGGTCAGGTCCGTAGTCATTATTTAAAATTTTAAACATTGTGATTAAATCTCCTCTCTGTCTACGGTATGACAGTGAGAAGAGATTTAAACTGTCTAGTCTTTCCTCGTATGATAAGTTTGCTATGCCATGAACCATACGTGTTGCCTTCCTTTGAACACTTTCTAGAATGTGTGAATCTTCTTTTAGACAAGGACTGGCGGCCTGGATGCAGTTTTCCAGTCTTCACCTCACCAGAGATGTATATAAGGAGGTGAACATATCTCTGGTAATTCTTGTAAAGGCTCTGCGAATCGCCCATAAGGACCTGAAACTACGTGCAGCCACCGCGCGTTCAAAAATAGTTCTGAACTTGTCTTAGTCTTGAACTTCACTTCTTGCATCAAACTACACCAGAGCAATCATATGGTTTATTATTTTCATCAGTGAAGATTGAAACTGATTGACCTAACCCGGGAATAAGAAACTTCAAGGTGATGCCTGATGGTCCGGCGAATAGAGTGTAAGTTCATACTGTATTTAATTTATTTATTAGTCTTATCTGTGGGGATGTTAAAGGAAAGGTGAAAGCATTGTTTTCAAGAGTTCTAAAGATTATGGCTTCAGCTGGACAATTTGATGTGAGTTGTTCAGGCGAATTGGTCGAATAAATGTTTTGTAAATTCAGATGATGTTTTGTTTGGGAGACTTTTTCGGAAATAATATTGAAGAAGTGGAAGGGCTGATTGATGGAAACATCGCAGGTACTATTTGCTTTCTTCTTACTTTCAGTGCCCCTTCCAACATACATTGTGTCTCCACTTACAGAATCTGCTCGCAAATTTTGTGACCAAGAATCTGGTTGTAAACTATGCAGCAACCTCACATATTTAGGTGAGTATGATTTTCAACTTATTACTTTTAGGTTCTAAGGGTACGTATACGACGATGACTGGTCTGCGTGTGGTGTACATGGCCGAACCAGAGACCAATGCTGATAGTTCCAGCCTACCACCCAGTTTACTCAGCGAAGCTCTTGCAGCAGAAGACTATGGATTTTTGGGGGTTGATCTTCTGCTCACCTGTCAGTGGCCAAAACATATAAATAACTGCATAGTTGGTCAGTTTCCTGATAGTTGTCAACCTTGTCTTGACACTGCTTCTATGTCGATTTCTCGACTTGCTTTTCTTACTCGTCCGCGGTACCACTTTTCATGTGGCAATGGTGTATACTACGAAAGGTCACCCTACAGGTAATCAGTTACTTCTAAAACTTGTGTTATTCAGCCACATAAAACTTTGTTTCTATGACTGATATACACTGGAACTATTCTTGTGCATGCCCCCACTTTTATGATACCACTTATTTCCAAAGATTAGTGTTGATAGGACGTCTGTAGGCATACCTGAGAAGTGTAAAGAGAGCACTCACTTGGTTTCAATGATTTTATTTTCTTAATGTATCATAGTTACTAGTATCCGAGCAGTCACGACAGAAATTGCCTACCTAGCCAATTCATCAGTGGAGAGTAATTCAGAAACGAAGCAAAACGAGACATTACTAAATAGCGGTTTGGATTTATATGCATTTGGCAATAAGTAAAGTCTGTTTATAGCATCCATTTATGCATCCCTTTGTACGTGGGGCGGGGTTCTGACGCTTAACTTAGTTGTTGCACGCTATTTCTACAAGTTAGTGAGGCGCATTCATACTCTACTTCGAAATATAATTGTTTATTCCACATAAATACGTAAATTCCCATTAAAAGCCTGGCATTTTCACAGGTACGGTCAAATGTAGTACAATCTTGAAATGTCGATAAATTATTATTGTTTCGATAGTTTAAATAGTTGGTTTGTAATATAGGCTATCAGGACAGGATTATGTAGATGTTAATTTGTAAAATTGTCGTGAAGATTGATCGAACAACCCAAATTTCGTCTCGTTTGTAACGGGTAATTTTACTCCATCGATAACTAACAAATATTCATGTTAATACTACAACCACACGTGATTGGAATCTTTTTCAGGGAGAAAATAGCGTTCTAGGAAACAGTAAAGTGGGGTGAAAATAAATAAAGTTAGTATATTATAAATACATAATGAGTTGTTACTGTGATCAATAAAAGACGAGAGAATTAAAGAATATTTGAAGTTTGACTGATGATATTGTAATTATAATGTAAAAAATAGTGATATAGATTATTTTGTTCTCGGTTGAGTTGGATGCCGTTTGGTACTTTATCACTTCTTTGTCGTGATAATCAGTTGAGGGTCGCTAAGTTTCAAATGCATGCTGTAGATAATGGTAACATTGCATCTAGCGTCCTGAATGCGGTTCACAGTAGCATTTGAGAATCGATATGATTTTGCGTGTTCCTCGACCCTTACTGTAACTATCATTAACTAGTATTTATTGACTGACCGGAGTCGTTGGTCCTTGATATGAGTAGACTGCATATACGGAAACAGAAAATAATACATGGTATGTTTCCGGTCTAAGCTTTGAATTTCCTGTAGCAATTGGGTTGGTTTTCCTGGGTAGTAGGGTCGCTAATCCTATACCCCATGGCTTCTCTCCACATTGAAGATCTGACAGTAAGAAAGGATTAGCAACGAAGAACCCTGACAGTGAACCAAAAACAAGAATATATTGTCCAGCAAATAGGCAGAAGGAAATGGAGGTGGATTGAACATACATCGAGAAGACCTTCGAGTAACATTATGCGCCAGGTGTTCGAGGGTGACTTGGAAGAGAATGTGGCAGCAGGAGATGACAGCCTATAAACGATCGTGAGGCCAACTGAAAGAAAATACAGAGAACAGGATGAAATAAAGGTGTGCTGTTTTTTCCTTCACGTTCCCAGTGGAACATAGGACTTCAAGCTAGTAGCTTGAAGTTTCTGTACCAGCGTTTAATTTTACAGGATGGGGTTCCTAGCTTCATGCCCAACCTTTCCTCTTTGCCAGCATTATTTATGGCTTAGAGAGGTAAAGGAGTGCATCGGTGGCCGGGGATCGAACCCGGGCCATGCGCATGGTCGGCGAGCGTCCTAACCGCTGTGCCACCGACGCACAGGTGTGCTGTTAAGGTCTTGTATTCCACTTGGAACCCAAGGGTATAATAATAATGCCTTTGTTGACTACTTTATTGACCCAAAAGAAGCTTACTCGATGTATCATCTAGATAGTGTGTAAGTCTTCAGCAAGAATAGAAGTTTAAGCTTTGGGAATGAGAACAGTTAAATATGAGTAACACCACTAGTAATGGCGTGAACTAGTCGATCTTTCTAGGCTGCCGAAAACATCCTTTATTTGAGAAACAAGAATAAAGAAAAATTTTGGATACGTCACTGTGATTTATTTTCATAAATAAATTCGTTTCGTGTGCGTTTCGGATTGTGAGGGCGATTGTTACTTCCCGGCTGCCCACACCGTGGAAGTTGGTTGCGTGACCGCAGAGCCCAGGGGACAATTGCTTGAGGCCGGTCACAGGCGGCCTGTTTTTGTTTCTTCTTTATTGTTTTGTGTGTCTCAGTAGCATATTTATCACTCCTGCCATGTGACACGGCAGCAGGAAGCGCGGTCGTTGTTAATCCGGGCCACGGCCGATCCGGCATGAAATTTTGTAATTTTTTTGTATCATAATGGTGGGTTGGATAGCTGCTTTTTGTTTTAACCACTATCCAAACAACCTGCCTGGCATGGTAGGACCTCAAGAGACATAAGTCTCAGCCAGTGCAGGTTGATTAGGTCATTGCGGTGTTCAAGCCCGACCACCACGTCAAAGTAGCAGCTTTCGGTTGGGCATAAATAAATAAAGATCTAGTTGCTCAGTGTATCATTTAGAAATCGTTGTCGCTGAACTAAGTATTTTCTGTTTTTTAATCTAGCAATTTCCTTTGAAGACAATGTTTAATTCTTTGCACCAATCAGCTTCCCACCTGAGTTATATTATATCCTTGTCATCAACTTGTTATTGTTTTGATAACTTCAAGTTGGAAAACTTTAATTTTGGCGTTTATCTTTTTTTAGAAATCATCGTGTATTACAAGAGAAAGCGTGTCATACTACACGTTTTATAGCTTTGGCTGATGTGAAAAATCCTCTTAACCAAAAGGTAAAAAATATTTTTCTCTAAAAAAAAATCCATTTATATTTTTGTTCGTAGTATTTGTATGCTCTAAAGTTGACGCCTATCGACAAAATGGATCATTTAGACTTGATTAATCAACCACCGGATGTAACTGAGAATCCATATCTTGGAGTTATTGATCGAGAACCTGTAGCAGATAAAGAAACAGTAAGTTAAGTTGTAATCTAGCTAAATGCATCTATTTATTCATCTTTTGATTGGTTGGTGATTAGCAATGAAGTCCACCAAGACGCGCACTTTGTCCTGCTTGGGATTCGTCATCTGGATGTAGCTGCATTCTCAGTGAGTAGTGGTGTGTTGGCGTGTCGGTGTTGATGAAAGTCTACACTAGTAGCCCGTTGAAAGTGCTTATCGTGACGCCCTTAGGAGGGAAATCTATGCGGGGGGGGGCTGGGGAAGAAAAGATGAGAACTAAATCTGAGATATACTTATGGCTGAATGAATCTTCGCTATTGAGAACGATTTTGGGCCATATCATTAAATAGTCTCCAGCCATTGGCTCTTATAGCATTCTGAGGTCTACATGGATCAAAACGATAAAGGATTTGGATCCTGCTCCAGCTAGTATGATTAGTCCTACCACAATGAGTGGTGTGACCCATTACCGACTCTAGCGTCGATGGTTCAGCGGTAGAACGCTCGCCACAACACGCACGGTGGCCTCGCGTCCGGTCAACGCACTCATTAACCTCGCTAAGCTGGTAGTAAGGCTGATAAAAAGGGGAGGTTGGACGTGACACTAGCAACTCCACCCTCCGTAAAAAAAAATAAAACCGCTTCTACCGAAACTTCAAAGCTCTAGTTTGAAGCCCTGAGTTCCACTCAGAATGTAAAAGAATAAAATAAATGAAGCGACAATAATTAGAAACTCTATGTAAACACACTCTACGGTTGTTGGGTAACAAACATCCTTTCTTCGTTTTCCTATACACTCTTCATATTCTCAAATTGAAAAATCAGATTTCTTAAAAATTTGGATTAGACTAGGGTCCGGGGTTCGATCCCCGGCCGACCCACTCCTTTACCTCACTTATCCAGTAATAAGACTGGTAAAAATAGGGAAGGTTGGGCAAGCCTCCAGCTTGATGCCCTGTGTTCCACTGGGAACGTGAAGGAAATAAAAAAATATTTTAATCTTAATACTGTTATAACCTATCTGGTACAGTTGGGGGGCGGTATACGTTTTAAGTGGTGGTTTTCAGGGATTTGATTGCTTTCACTGTTGGTCGCGAGGTGACTTCATTTAAAGAATCATTGAAAACAGGGGAGGAGTACTGGACTGTATGAAATTCTTGTGGGACGGCGTCACCAGTGGGGCCACCGACTCGTTGGGTGTGAGGATAAATACTCATCTCAGTGATATTGGCGAATAGACAGAAATTAGAATTGGTGGGTCATTGGATTCCGTCCGGGTGGTTGAGAATGACCATTGAGTTCGCTTTATGAGCCGAATATCCTTGGCTCCATCCATCCCTGGAAGGGTAGGGTCGTAGATGCATACACGTTTTAGTTATTGATTTTAACTTCTTGTTTCTAACTTTGTTTAAAACTTTGTTTTGTATTTTTTGCTTTTTTTGCGTAAAATATTAGGAGGTTCAAACAGACCAATACTTTTATAACTTAAATGCCAAGAAAGAACCATACATTCCTAGAAAGAAAGGCGTTTCACAAAAGCGTAGATTGAACAACAGTAGTGTTTCAGACGAAACAGCTCTCATCAAACGTTTTTCAAATGATGGAGAAGATACTAGTCAAGAAGGCTTTCAAGAAAAAATTGATAGTAAGTTACACACACACACACGCGCATGCATTACGTATACATACGTGTTCATTGTGTTGCTTGCTATTCGTTTCATTCCTTTGAGTTCCCTAGCTGGGGACCGAATGAGTTTCAAGTCTCAGTAGCGATGGTAGTGTTAGTCTCACGCCCAACCTCCTCTCTTTTGCTTGTTTACTACCGGCTAACGGAGGTGTTTAGGAGTGCATCCGTCGGTCAAGAATCAAACGATGTGCCACGCGTGCATCTGGGTTGCTGAACAATCTGTCATCTAACCATGGACTCCAAGTCATTTTTATTCTAGATAAATATTCATTTTTCTATATTTGTGGCCTTATTATGTCAAATGATGACTGATTGGTTTCAACGTAGAACTCTGCACCGATTTGTAACAGTTCGAGTTGCCACACTCCATGTAGCATACAAACTAAGGGAAAAAGTAAAAAAGAAATGCAAAAGAGAGACAATAAACAGAGGTGTGAGTCAAAAACAATAGTAATATCGAAGAACAATATAGTTTTATTGTGTATTATGAGTCACAAGGAGTGGATACATCTGCGCCAGCCATTGAGAATGAAGATTTTGAGCCATATCACCAGCTGTTTCCAGCCTTCATTAGTTTTTACTATCCTGAGGACCCCCAACCAGTAGTCAACACGTATACATCTCCGTATGTGGCTTAAAATAACTGTTGTGGATTTCATTGACTGATGAAGCCATGTTTTGGTTTGACCATCACTAACTCTTTTCCACTCTTGCTCTATTTACTGTCTCTATTATGCATTTCTTCTACTTTCTTCTTTTGCTTTGTGTGATACGTGGAGTGTGGCGAATTGAACAGACAGACTGTTCAAGTCTTGCTACGAGGGAACAATCTCGTTGACTTAGAATATGGAGATGATATAGTCCTCCCTCCTCAGTGAGTAGGCTGACAAAATGCAGTCTTCTGAACACCTTGAGCTGCTATCTACGAATGTTTGGCATGCAATCCGCTCCCGCCAAATGTAAGATGATGTTACGGGACTGGACTACACTGACTCCCAGCTTAGAATTAGGGAGTGAAGTGGTAGAGCATGGTGACCGCTTCACTTATTTGGGGAGTTGCATTAGTCAACGCCAACGGGTTGATCTCTGACGAAATCTCAGTATGGATACAGAGGGCTAGTTTCGGATATGCCAGTTTAAGCCGTCTCTGGCGCAGACGTGATATCCGACTGGCTATCGATCAAAGGGCAGATGTACTGCTCAGAAGTCCGCTCCGTCCTCCTTTATGGCTGTGAGACCTGGCCATTGAGAGTAGAAAACATGAAAAGCTCGGTTAGCTGTATTTGATCATAGATGCCTGTGTTCTATCTATCGTGTGAAGTGGTAGGTGTAATAGGGTGAGTAATATTGAGGTTAGGCTTCGGTCGAGTGCTAGGTAAGTGGGAGGGGAAATCAGTGAACGAGGCTGTGAAATTACATCGACTGAGATGGTTAGGACATGAGTTACGCATGCCTAGCCATTGCCTTTCTCTACGCGCAATGTTAGCTGATATAGGATGGATCAGGCTGGAAGAGATCTAGTGGTGGCGAAACTAAAAGATGGACTCATCAGTCAATGAAATCCACAACAGTTAGTTTAAGCCAGCCAGTCACGTAGGAAGGTGTAGACTGGCTTCCTGGTTGTGGTCCTCAGGACGGTAAAAACCAATGAAGACTGGAAACAATTGGCGATATGGCTCAAAGTGATCGTTGTCGATGGCTGGCGGAGATGCATCCACTCCTTGTGACTTATGATTTCCGATGAAACTATATCGTCCTTCATTATTACTATTCCTTTGTGTCACACCTCTGTTTACTGTCTGTATTATGCATTTCTTCTACTTTCTTCTCATGCTTTGTGTGGTACATGTGGAGGGAGTGTGACAACTTGAACTGGTGCACATCGGTGCAAAGTTCTATGTCGAAAACAGGCAGACAGATGTTTCCAATGTGATACTATATCAGTTAACGTTGCCCTTTGAGACAGCCCTTCGAGGGAGGCGATAGCTAGTGCTGCATGGATTGTAAGCAGCTTGAACGGGTGCACTTCTGTGCGAAGTTCTGTGTTGAAACCCAGTCATTCAGTCAATCAGTCAGGATCATTTAACTAATTCATTCTATTTTATGCATTATTTCACTTTGGTTATGGTATTTATTAAGTTCCTCTTTTTATTAACTCCCATTTTACACTTCTTTTTTTATTTTATTTTTGATTACAGAGTACAAAATTCATGATGATTGTTGGTTTTGTTTAGGCAATCCAGAGGTGAAAAAGCATTTACTTGTTAGTATTGGTACACAAGTCTATATGGCATTGCCTCGTGGACCTATTGTACCGGATCATGTGCTCATTTTAACTATTGGTCATTATCAAAGTTGGATTACCTGTCCTGATTATGTTCGTGAAGAAATTCAAGCGTATAAATCACGATTAAAACGCATGTATGATGCACAAAATAAAACCATGGTTGTATTTGAAAGGAATTTAAAAACACAACATTATCAACTTCAAGTATGTATAGTCTCAATTTTTCTTTTTTTCTGGTGGTGGGGGGCTTGATTTGCAGGGATCACGATTTGACTTTAGTTAGAGAACTATTGAAAACAAACAGAGAGGGGGTACTGGATAGCTGTTTATTCATATATGTGTAAAACTTGGGCACTGTGGCAGTAAGTAATTCCATCTTAGTTTGTTTATTAGATGTATCACACAGTGAGACAGTATTATTTACTGGATGACAAAGTTTCGAATACAATTTATTGTTCATGATCATAATAATTGTAATCACACGACTTTGAAATTCGAGTTTTCTTTGTCTTCTCCCATTTTTCGTTGTAGGGGTAGTAGAATTTTCCAGATATCCAACTGGACAGGTGTTGAATCATTCCTATTACACGTATTTGCAGTTGATTCGATAAACAAAGCTTCTGCTGTCATCAATCTCTCCCTCCATTCACCCTGTGACATTAGATTTTAAAACTGCCATCCTATCCCATTATCTTATTGTATGGTTGTGTGTAATTGCATGTAGTGAGCGGTATAGCTGAACTATTCTCTAGATTTCCCATTTTATTCGGGTCAACCAATCTAGATTTTGGTAGGTTTCTATGTTCGGCTAGTCCGACTGCTCTTGTTCTACTAGTTTGACCTATGTTGAATCCAGACAGACAGATGTATTTGACCTGACAGTCATTGCAGGCAAGGTATTAGATAAACTAAATTGTTTTGTTTTAAAGTCTCCACCGAACTGATCCTTTAGCCGACAAAGCTTGTTTCTAATTGAGTTGGTGGTTGGTTTGAATTCCAGCCACTTTTATTCCTGCTTGTATTGTTAAGAATTTTGCGTAATTTGATTTCCGAGGTTCCTTCCTTGTATGGAATTATTACTCACGATTTAGATTCCTTATTGTTGGTGTCGTCATTAATATTATTATCATTATCATTATTATTATTATCACTATTGCTACTACCAGTATTTATTTTATTTTTATATTTACTTACATATTTCCTGACTAATTTATCCGGGTAATTATTAAGTTTCAAGGCTTCTTTTATGTGTATCACTTCCTGTCTTAGATTTTCCTTAGTACTACTTCGCCAGGGATCGAACGTTTAGGGCCTTCTGATTACAAGGCGAGCGGGTATACCATTCAGCTGTCGGAAAGGGAATTCAGTCGTTCATTTATATTCTAACTTCTGCTAATTTATGATACATATAAAGCCGGCGAGTATTTGTCCTCATACCTATTTCTCTTCATCAGTAAGGAAATAACACACATTTCTGTTCAGCTTGAAGGAATATTAACTTTCAACGACTTGATTTCTTGAAGCAGCTATTATAATCATGCGTAGACTGAGTGGTGCTCGGGAAGCACAAACACGAGAGAGCCAGGCAGGCTTTAGACCAGGAAGAGGGTGTATTGATCATATCTTCACCCTCCGACAGATTCTAGAACATAGGCATTCCTACCGGCGTCCAACAGTCATTATATTTCTTGACTTAAAGGCAGCATTCGACTCTGTCGATCGGGAAGTTCTCTGGAGATGCTTGGCTGTAAAGGGAATTCCGAGAAAATATATTGCACTGATTAAGGCTCTGTACTCGTACTCATACAGCCAGGTGAGGGCTTACGGCGAGCTGTCATCTGAACTGATGACGACCAGTGGTGTCCGTCAAGGATGCCCATTATCCCCTTTTCTATTCAACTTCATCATAGATATGTTAATGGACTTAACCCTAGGTGACTTCAGCGACTCAGGGATTGACTTGCTACCGGGGAATAATCTCGTTGACTTGGAATATGTAGACGATATAGTCCTTCTAGGCGAAGACGCTGACGAAATGCAGAGTCTTCTGAACACCTTGAGCCGCAATCTACGAATGTTTGGCATGCGATTCGCTCCTGCTGTCAAATGCAAGATGATGATACAAGACTGGACTACATCGACGCCTAGTTTAAAAATAGGAAGTGAAGTGGTAGAGCAAGTTGACCGCTTCACTTATTTGGGAAGTACCATCAGCCCCAACGGGCTGATCGCTGACGAAATCTCAGCACGAATACAAGGAGCTCGTTTCGCATTTGTTAGTTTACGCCGACTCTGGCGTAGACGAGATGTTCGACTATCGACCAAAGGGCGTTTGTACTGCTCATCAGTCCGCTCCGTCCTCCTCCATGACTGGTTGTGAGACCTGGCCACTGAGAGTGGAAGACATGAAAAGACTAGCTGTCTTTGATCATAGGTGCCTGCGTTCTATTTCCCGTGTAAAGTGGCATAATAAGGTGAGCAACATTGAGGTTAGGCGTAGAGTTCTAGGTAAACAGGGGAAATCAATCGACGAAGTCGTGAAGCTACAAAGACTGAGATGGTTAGGACATGTGTTACGTATGCCAAGCCATCGCCTCCCTCGACGAGCTATGTTAGCGGATATAGGGTCAGGCTGGAAAAAAGCTAGCGGCGGTCAAACAAAAACATGGCTTCACCAGTCAATGAAATCCACAACAGTTGGTCTAAGCCAAGTAGGAAGGTGTAGACTTCCAGGCTGGGGTCCTCGGGACGGTAAAAATCTATGGTTGGAAACAATTGGTGACATGGCTCAAAACCGTTCTCAGTGGCGCAGATGCATCCACTCCCTGTGACTTATGATCTTCAATGAAACTGTTTTGTATTTCTTTCTTACTCCTTTGTCTCACACCTTTGCTCACTGTTTCTATTATGCTTTTCTTGTACTTTCTTCTCTTGCTTCGCGTGCTACACGGAGTGTGGCGACTTGAACTTCCGCACATTTGTGCAAAGTTCTATGTCGAAAACAGACAGACAGACATTATTTCCTTTAATTCCTAGAGGAACATAGGGCTTCAGCCTCGCGTCTATATTGGGTTCGGTTCTCTGCTAGAGTTTTCATCTGGCTCCATGTCTGTCCACATGCTCTCATCATCTCCTTTTCACATGACCTCCTTCAAGTCACCCTCACATTCACGACCAACTTGCCGCTTCCCTTTCGGCCTGCTTCCACTCGAGGGCTTGTCTAGTGATGTCACTCACTTGATGGTTTCCTCAGAGTATGGCCAATCCAATCCATCTCCATTTCTTCCTGCCTATTTGTTTCACAATCGGTTCCTGATTTGTTCGTTCATTGCCAGAGATCCATCCCTGTTGCTAATCTTTTCTGGCCATCTGATCTCGAGTATTGAACGAAGACAACTGTTAATGAAGAACTGTAGTTTGTTTGAGGTGCTCTTTATGACGCGCCAAGTCTCTGATCCATCCGTATAGTGAGTAGCACTGAATTCACATTGGAGTTGAAAATCCGGATGTCATTTCCATTTTCATGCTGAGTGCTGCTGACCTCCACACAGACTTGAGAGTAATGAAAGCTTGCTTTGCTTTCCTGATCTTCGCTGTTTTGATATCCTCGTCAGTTCTGCCTGTAGTTGAAAAGATGCTTCCCAGGTAGGTAAAGGAGGTTGTTTCTTTCAGGTTCCTCCCATTTATGCTGGCTGATTGTTGTCGGTTGTTGTTGTCGCTGTCAGCCAGGAATCTTCATCACCAATTCTGTTTTCTCTATGTTTACCTGAAGTCCTATCTTTGACGCTTCTTCTGCCAGCTTGTTGCTTTTCACTTGCATGTCTTTCAGTTTGTGGGAAATTGGACATATATAATCATCGGCGAAGTTTACATCCCCCAAGTTTTTTGTGTGAGTCCATTTTATGCCTGTTTCCTCTCTGCCCACCGCTCTCTGTCGCATTATCCAATCTACTGCAATCAGGAAAATCATTGGCGATAGTAGGCAGCCAGCTTGTCCTACTCCCGTCCTCACTTCGAAGGATTCCGTAAGTTTCCCGTTGTGGATTACTTGGCATTCAGCATCGTCGTATAACTGTTGGATGAGATATATATTTGTCGGTGGCACCCCGTCGTAGCGAAGCAGCTATACAATTGTATTTATATTACACAAGAAACGGTATTATCAGGTCGTACTAAAAATGGCTCAGTAGTCAATATAAACACCATGATGACTGGGATAAAGGTGATTTTCATATGATATCAGTTAGAGAGCCATTAAAACCAGCACTGGAGTACTGGGCAGTTGTTTCGTCCTTGTGCGGTACTCATCGGCAGGACGCACCCACCACCAAGGTTCGAACAAAAAGCCTTCGGATTTTAAGACCACTCAGGCACTGGGACACGACTCAATTGCCAGCCCATGAATTCTGACTCCTACCAATTCGTGATTTTAGCGCGAGTGTAACAGCAAAAGGCAACACGCGGAAGCCGAAGTATATTTTTCATTAATCAAACCTCTGTTTATATATATATATATAGTTTTATATTGTTTAACCAATCACTGAGCGCGTGATTTTGGTTTACATTAAACGACATGAAATAGAATGTTTAAATATACATAGTAGTCTGTTGCTAACGCAGTACTTAACTGTGGGAATATATGAGAATTATATTCCGTTTGAACACACATTGTCTGTATCACACCACCACACGATTACAACCAGCCAATGTCATCGGCGAATATTATCCTCTCTCCCGACTTGGAGGGTCATCGAGTCCGTCCACAGTGATTGAATGGTCTGCGAGCTTTTCTTTGCAATCAGAAGGTCCTGGGTTCGAACCCTGGTGGGTGGAGTTGCTAGTGTCACGTCCAACTTCCGCTTTTTATCGGTTAGGGGGGTGCGTCGACTAGCATATTTACTGGCGGAAGCAGAAGAAAGAAACAAAGCTGCACATAACAAAAAAATGAGAGAGAGAGAAATGGAAAAGAAAGAAAGAAAACGTACCTATACATGATATGAGTTAGAAAGACGAGATCCAGTTGTTCTACTGACTATTTAATAAGTTTTACGTATCACGCCTAATGCTTTCTTTATCGCACAGAACACGAGCTAAGTATGTAGGGTATGGTTGAGTTTTGTACTTGCTAGTGCGAGCATATAGTTTTCTATATAGGCTTCTGATTTCGCCTGATGAGATACAAGGGGAGAGTTGTGAATGAAGAG